CTCTCCTGATACTGCCACCACCCTAGTGCAGATCCTCATCACCTTATGCCTAGATTGAAATAACGTTTGATTGGCTCTGCCTGCCTCAAGTCCCTCCCCACTCCAATCCATCCTCCATTCAGCCTCTAAAGTGATTTTCCTAAAGCCAGCTCTGATCATATCAGTCCCCTCCTCAATCAACTACAGTGGTTCCCTTTTGTCTCCAAGATCAATACAAAATTTTCTGTTTGGCCTTCAAAGCCCTTCATAACCTACCTCTCCATTCTTCTTATGCCTTACTCCCCACAAGACATACTCTCTAATCCAATTCCGACACACTAACATCCTAGTTGTTCCACAAATGAGACCCTCGATCTCTGTACTTAGGTCATTTTCTCTGGCTATATCCCATGTCTGGAATGATCTCCCTCTTCTCTTGACTACTGATCTTCCTGGCTTCCCTGATGTCCCAACCAAAACCCTACCTTCCACAGGAAGCCTTCTTAGTTCTAATGACTTCCCATGATTAATTATTTCCTATATATAGCTTGTTTTATTTATAGTTGCCTGCTTGTTTTCTCTCCCATTAGACGTTAAGTTCCTTGAGGGCAGGGACTGCCTTTTATCTCCTTTGTTTCCTCAGAGTTTAAGAGTGCCTAATAAATGCTGATTGACTGGTTTAAGCCCTGCTTGATAATATTTGTGATTAATTGGATTTAAGTACTCCTTGGTAATACTTATTGATTGATTGGATTTAAGTCCTGTTTGTGTCAATTTGTTGAGTGACATGGGCAAGTCACACACAACTCCTCAATGGCCCAGGTAGCTAAGTTTAGAAATTGTCAAAAAAAAAAGTCTGCAGTGGAGAAGTCTCCTACACCAAAGAAATCACAGGATCACAGGAATCATTTTACAGATGAAGAGCTGAGGCCTAGGGAGAACTGAGTAACTTGTCCAAGGTCACACAGCTAGTAATTGTCTGAAGAAGGATTTGAACCCGAGTGTCTCATTTGCCCCCCTAAAAAATGGGAACCCTTGGGGCAGCTAGGTGGCGAAGTGGGTAGAGCACTGACCCTGAAGTCAGGAGGACCTCAATTCAATCCGGCCTCAGACCAAACACTTGAAATGACCCTAGGCAAGTCACTTAACCCCAATTGCCTAAAAGAAAAAATGGAACCCCAAAAATAGTGTACGCCTAGGATCATACAATTAGACCTGAAAAGGACCTTAAAAACATCCAACCTTCCCATTTTACAGATGAGGAAACAGGTGGAGGGGTGGCAGGTGAAACAGCAGACAGATCACTGGGCCGGCAGTCAGGAAGACCTGAGTTCAAAGCTGGCCAAAGACACTGACTAACCATGTAACCCTACACAAGTTGCTTAACCTCTGTTTGCCTCAGTTTCTTCATCTGTAATATGGGGATAATAGCTCCCACCTCCCAAAGTTGTGTTATATAATACTGGATATCATTATTATGAATAATAACATCTTCCTCTGAAGACTGTGAAAATCACAATACACAAAGTCACAATATAAATTTACAATCTGTAAAGCCCTTAGTATAGTCTGTGGCACATAATATGCACTATATGTTACTTATTATTAGTGTTATTATTAATAGTACCTACCTCCCCAGATAGGTTGTTGTGAGATATTTGTAAAGATAATCTTTGTAAAGCACAGTGCCTGGCATACGGTGAGTTCTATATAAATCTAAGATATTAGCTATTATTAGCTGAGGCCCAGAGAAGTTAATCAGCCTAGGGTAACACAAGTAATAAGTATCTGAGGCAGGACTCAAACCCAGGTCTTCAAGTTCAAGTCAGTTACTCTGTCCCTCCAATTCTGGTCCCATTATTTTTAGGCTGACCCTAATCTGAACAATTAAGATGCTTCCCTCCCAGCAATTTTCTTGGCTTTTCTTGGCTTCTCCAGAGCCAGAACTGTCCTTAACAAAGAAAGCATCCCTCCCCCAACCCCTAAAAATCAGTGAATTGCTTTCCTGTAGTAACTACATTGAACCTTCCTTGTTGTCTCCTAAGCAGACGACAGAAACACAATACCCAGTTCTTTTCCAAGGGAGAAACCCATCACTCGTAGTTGCTCGTTCCAGAACGGTCAAGATAACTTCACAGTGCCCTCTCTTCTAAACTGGGGCATTCTGCTCAAAGGTCTACAAACACACACGGATACCCCTCCCCTCTCAAAAGCATATGCCATCACTTGTGTCTTCAAAAGCCTCTCTCCGTGTTCTCAGGCCATAACTGCACAGCCAAGAAAGTGCTGCGGATGGCAGTGAACCCGGTATAAATCCAGAGCTAAGCTCAAGAGGATCTTACTTAGTGTAGTCAGAAGGACGGGTAGACAGAGTCACACAGAGTCACACACACACACACACACACACACACACACACACACAGAGCCAGACACACGCAAGGAATAAAAAGCTGCGTATACCAGTAGCAACAGTATCAGAGGCAAGCAACTCTAGACCAGCGGTCTCCCAGGTCCTACCTTCGTAGCCGACGCCAGCCTGGCATCCTGGAGAGCACCGGCTGCCGGCTGGCTCCCTGGCATCACCCTTACCTGAGCAGGGGCTCCTTCTCAGGCAGGTCCGGGTCTCCCAGGCATTTGCACGGGCAGCAGCAGCAAAGCGTCCTCAGCCAGGCCCGCAGCCCCATGGAGAGCTGTCCAGGACCTCCTGGAGACTCAGCAGCACAGGGTGGAAAGGAGCCTAACCGGTCCCGTCCCCGTCTCTCTGTCTGTCCCTGTCCGCCGCGAGCCGAGGTCCCGAAAAGCAGCTGGATGTCCAGATCTTAGAGCAGAGAAACCGGCCGGACTGCCAGTCGAGTCAGCGCTAAGGCATCGCCGGGCCGGTCGCCGGGTGCATCACGCTGCGGTCACGGTCACCAGCGCCTTGGCCGGGGCAGCTTCCAACCTGGGACAGCCAGCACGAAGCCTAGAACGCCGTGCCACAGACATGGCCGGTGGGCTCCTCTCTCTTGTCCTTCCCCGCAGCTCTTTTTGCTACTCAGGAATCCAGAAGCGGGATGTTAAGAGGCTCGCGGAGGCGTTTTTCTTCTAGTTGCTTTTCCTTTTCAATTCCCCCGTGCTAAGTGGAGCGCATGCCCCGTGCAGGCTTGGGAGCGTCTCCGGCCCGAGGGAAGTCACCACTGCTGCCCTCTAAGGAGGAAGGCGGGGACTCCAGCCAGATGTGAAAGCCAAGCTAACCTTCTCCCTGCGCCTATAGGTGCTCTCTGCACAGCTGGCCCTCGGGGTAAGATCTTAGGACCCCATGCTGGGCTGAGGCAGGAGCCCTGGAGCTATTCGAGGACGAGGTGGCGTGTACATCTATTTATACCTTTTTATTGGCTTCCTCCCCTGTTGCCTTCTTCCTCTTCCTTGTTTTGGTTTTGTTTTTCCTCCTAAAGGAGACTGAATGTCAGTTTCTTTTGGCAGATGTCTTAAAGAGTCATAGAATTTTTGTGCAGCAAAGGCCGGTGGAGATTCCCTGGTCATAGGATAAAAGTATGGAAGAGATCCTTATCCAGCCCTCTTGTTTTGCAGGAGACAACTCAGCACCAGAGGGGTGAGCCGATTTGCCCAAGGTCACACTCAAAATTACTGGTGGAAACAGGTCTTCAGATTCCGGACTGCAAACCCTCTGCCCTCCCCCCACTGAATGCAAATACTATACTGATATTAGATAGTTCATGGGACAATGGCCTAGTGAAGAAACTAAAGCCGGGAGACTGAGTGATTTGCCCAAACTTAGAAAGCAGAAGCAGGATTATAACCCATTAATAAATAGGGGTATGTTGATTAGGACAAGAAAGAGAAACATAGAATTTAGTTTTAAAGCCTGTTATTGCAATTATTAAGTGTAATTGGTCTTCAAAGAAAGGACAAGGTCTTTTGGTACCACCCTGAGCCTTCTGAGCCATTGTGGATTTACTGAGGATCACCTAGGTGCCAAGGACTGTGGCAAATGTTGCATAGAGTACAAAGAAATAGAAGAGTTGGCAGGCTAACAGTATAAAGAGAATGGAATTTCAAGTTGGAAGATGGTTAAAATTCAGATGGCCACTTATTAAGTACATGACATTTTTAGGCAAGTCTTCCTTATGTTTGGGTCCCCTATATAAAATGAGGGGTATTGGACTACATGATCTCTTTGGTTCCTTCCACCTCTAAATCTATGATTCTGTGATCCCTTAAGGCTTGGTTTCTGCCCGTAAGAAACTTCCCATCTACATGGGATAATAACTCGTGAAAAGATAAATACTCCTGTAAAGTTAAATCACAGTTCAAGACAGCAAGAAATATCACAATACTAACAGCTATCATTTGTAGACACCTTACATATATTATCTTAGTTGATCCTCAACAACAACCCTGGGAGGGAGGGAGGTGTTATTATCCTTCATTTTACAGATGAGGAAACTGACACAGAGAAATTAAGTGACTTGCCCAGGGTCACCTGGCTAAGTAAGTGTCTCAGAACAGAATTTGTAATTCTGTCTCCCTGACCCAAGGCTCAGTACTCTATTCACTGCACCACTTAGTTGGCACAAGGAAATAGCCAGCATGGAATCATTTGAAAGAACACTGGACCAAGAGTCAGAATCCCTGGGTTCTCTAACTCCTAGCCATTCTACTTAATAACTGAGCTCTTGGAAAAGTCGTGTAACTTCCTTGAGTCTCACTTTCTTTGGATGTAAAATGAGGGATTTAAGCAATCTGTAAGGGACATCTCTAAATTCTATGCTGCTGTGACAGTTATGTGCAGTCTATAACTATAGCACTAAGCAAAGCATGATAGTTTTCAATGTCCCATCTGTGTGTGTGTGTATATATGTATGTATGTATGTATATGTATATGTATACACATGCTGTACTATACCACAACTTGTTCTTAATAATTTCTCAAATCAAAGGTCAGCGACAAAAACTAACAGACCAAAACTGTTCCTTACAGTAGTATTTGTGCTTATGTAGAATGTCAATATTTCACTTACTGTTCATCCTTTTACACTTTTGGGGTGCCCTTCTGTAATTGTTTGCCTCAATGGAAGCTTCCAGAGAGCACAAGTCTCTTCACCTGTGAAGAAGTTGTATTAGATGATTCCAGCCCTCAATCCCATGATCCTGTAATCTTTTTTTAAAAATAATATTTTCCCCAATTACATATTAAAACTTTTTTTACATTTTTTAAAGTTTAGAGGTCCAAATTCTATCTCTCCCTCCCTCTCCCTTTCATCACCTTCCTTCGTCCCCTCCCTGAGATGACAAGCAATGATCCTATGACCTTAAGACCCATTTCTACTCAGCTAGCTTGGTGTCATTTCCCAGTATTTGTCCACTCTGATGATTCTGACCACTCTGTATTTCTATGATTTTTTTTCCTTCCAAAAACTTAACACATGGACTATTTCTCCATCTTCTGTAAATCAGATCCCTGTTAGTTAACAAGAGAGCTGCTGGGACTTGAGTTTGGAATTCACCAATGCCTTCTTCCCTATTCTGACATCAGGTCAGGGGAGTACCAAGGTTCCCTTTTGACTGAAAATAGTTAAATTGCTCTGCTGTTCCCATTCTGTGTTCTTGAAACCAACCCCACCCACCACCACCAGCAGCAGCAGAAGCTAACCCTTAGGAAGGTCCACTGGGTACCTGATACTAGAGTCACGGGTGACTCACTAGTGTAATTCCTCATTTTCAAAAGTTCAGGCTGACATTTCAGATTCCTTAAGACAGGGAAAACCTCCAACTCAACTTGAAAAATAGGTCGCATCTAAGCATGGTTTATTTCCCCTCTCAATACTTTTTTTCCCTTAATATCACAGATACGGAGTCAGAGATATAATAATAATATCTGGCATTTATAAAGCATTCCAAGAGATGATTGATATTATTATTCCCATTTAACAGATGAGGAAACTGAGGTTCACAGAGGTTAAATGACTTACCTAGGTTCAAACAACCAATAAGTAACTGAGGCGCGATCCAAACTCTGGTCTTCCTTACATCAGTCTAGCATTCTATCTACTACTCCATGTTGACTCTAAGGGGTGTGTGTGTGTGTGTGTGTGTGTACACACAGTACATGTATGATATGGGTGTGCACATATGTGCACACGTGTGTATGCATATGTGTTGTATATGTATGCATATATTTATACACGGTGTGTATGTGCACACACAGTATATGTGTGTACATGTGTGTAATATAGGTGTATACACATATGTGCACATGTGTATGCATGCATGTTGTGCATATATACATATATATTTACACACACACGCATGCGTGCACGCGTACTTGTCCAGACAAGTAGGCAAAAGACCAAGAAAAGCCTCTGGAAGAAGGTGCAATTTGAGATCTCTTAGCATTTCAGGCAAGAGAAACTCTCAGAGATGGAATGTTGTGTAAGGAACAGCAAGTAGTTGGCTTATAAAGTGTGTGAAGGAGAGTAAAATGAGAAGACTGGAAAGGGAAGAAAAAAATCAGATTACAAAGAGCTTTAAATGGCAAATAGAGGAATTTGTATTTAATCTTGGCACTAGGGTGCCACTGGAGTATATCCAATGGGGGGTGAGGGGGCGATGGGTGGACTTTTGAGAAAATCACTTTGGCAGTGACTAAATAACATAGGAGCAAGGAAAGACAAGCCAGAACCAGGATTCCAGATCGGATCTTGTGATTTTAGGTCCCATAGGATTCCCATGACATTTCCCATACTGTCTCTCAAAAATGACTGGCCCAGGATCACACAGCTGCAAAACAAAACTTCTGGGATTTGACCCCAGGTCTTCTGACTTTGGCTAGTCTTTTGTCCTATATGATGCTGCTCATCTGATTTTTTTTTCCATTCTCCATCCTCCAGGACTCAGGGACCTCTGGTCTTCAGAATAGAGGCTTTACATTCCTTCCACCCTAAGACAAAAACCCTATTGCCACCACCTCTGTACTTCCAGCTCCCCTTCTCTTCCAGTGCCCCCAGACTTGGTTCTTGAAGGTTTCCCTTAGGTGCATGTAGGGTCTGTGATGTATCTGCTTTGTGGAGTAATAACTCAGCTGACAAGCGGAGTTAAGAAATGCCATATGAATGAATAGAACACATTTTGCATTTTATATAGAAGTATAAATATTAAATAAAGTATTATTGATTGACCTGGAATGAATATTAGAAAGCAAATCCATCTACCTTCAAGGAATTCACAGAGGCAAGACAGCCACATCATTACTAGCCACGGAAATGGAAATAATCATCATTCCAGTGCAGAGCAAACTTTAAAGCTATTTACTTCTCTCTTCCAAAAAAGTTCTCCAGTTTCACACTCATCCTCTTTCTACCTATTTTCCTCCCAGCTTCCTTCAGTGTGGGAAGTCCAGACCCTCCCCCTACCTCCCTGCCCTACAGGGGTCACCCCTGCCTTTTCCCCAACTATTATCAGAGAGCATCTGATGGCTAATACTGTAAATCCCTCAGGGACAGTCTAGCTTTGCCAAGCTATATTAGAGCTGACTAACAATCACCTTTATTGTGACCCCCCAAACACCATAACTGGAATCTATTGATATTTAAAGAATAGTTGAATGATCCCTTCCTCCCAAAGTTGTTTAAGAAAGATCTCTTACTTCAAGAATCACTAGGTTATGAGGTTATAGGACAATGAGATAAATCATGTCCCAGTAACATTACATGCATGTCAGTGGTACTCTCCAAATGCAGGCTACACCCCCTGAGAATTCAGGGATATCCTCTTCAATGCAATTCAATTCAACAAACTTTTATTGAGCCCCTACCACGCAATAGTCACTGTGCTAGTCATTGGGGCTACAAGGAGAAAAAAATGAAACAGCTCTAGTCCTCAAGGTCTAATGCAGAAGTAAACTGCATCACTTTCTGTCTGCACTCCCTCCACTGGCTCCACCCTTGTGCATTTGCCAGAAATACCTTTGAAGGAGATTGAGGTCAGAGGACATAGAGAATATGAAGATGGAGGATTTTTGTTGAAGAGAAAAGTAAGTAACATCAAAGTGTGGTCTGGGTAAGTGCAATCATTATTTCCATTCCAATGCCTGGTAATAATATAGCTGCCTGGGTTCCTAGTTCTGCCTGAAGGTAGATGGGCCTGCCTTCTTGGATTCATTCCAGCTCGATCAATATTTCATCCAATATTTGCAGTTTCTGTATATCATACAAAATGCATTCCAGTCATTTATATTGATTTTTCTTAACTCAGCTAGTCAGTCAATATTATTACTCCTTACAACAGATCCTCAAGGAAAATCTTAATGAATGAATGAATTAAATGCTCATTCCTTAGGTATAGATCATAAATATCCTAGATCCTTTCTAAAGCAGTATGGTGGTTTTCCTTTTTTCCTTAACCTAATATATATTGGGTTACCTGCAAGATCAGATTACCATAAAAGGAGAAGCAATGGATTTCAAGTCAAATGACTCATTCAACATTTCCCCAGAACTCTGACAACCTAAATATTCAATAAGTCAAACAAATTGATCTTTTCGCCCCGTGCACAAAGCTCTGGGCTTATGTGAACTATAGATTTATCCTAAAATCATATCTCTTTGGCTCATTTTGCCCCCCACTCCCATCCCAGAGTTTCTTCTAGGAATCTTCAGAATATAGACCTTGTCTAGATATCCACTGATGTGAATAAAAGGGTTCACTAGTTCCCATGCAATCAACGAAGGTAACAATGAATATCAAATATAAGATAACCTTTATTTTACCTCAGTGATTAAATGAAGAAAATACAAAAGACTCACATAAGCCATTAGTATAGTTCTTCTCCGTCTTTGGTATACCCCACTGTCCCCCAAGGAGACCATACAGTTTTCTAGACTCACAATACCAATATGTGATTTGAATATCACACAAAAGAGACTTCCAACAAAGATGGCAGACTGACACACTCTTCCTCATACCTACTCCAGCAAAAACTTGGAATTAATACCAAATCAGATAATGGTCAAGAAATCCAATGAGAATCTATAATAAATGACTTAGTCCTCTGCAAAATGACACAAAAAGTCAGCCAGCATCCCACAGGCAATAGAAACAAGGACCATAAGTAACTTCTCAAATTTATGAGGCAGAGACATATGTAGCATGCAAGGCTCTGTGTCCATTCAGAAGAAAAACGGAGGGCCCTGAAAGAATGGACCTAGGTGGATCAGAAAGCCCCAGGATGGGAACCCTGAAAGCCCTGGGGAACAGAAGCAACCAGAGAGACATGGCAGCACTCAGACTCAGAAATCACAAGTGTCCAGGGGCTTCATTTCCAGAGCATTCTGTCCTTAGGGGCCACTAGAAGCCCTGAAGATCCAGCACTCTAGTCCTCAAAAATGGAGAGGGACTCCCTGAAAACCATGATTTTTTTTAACAGCCTGCAAACTATATTTCAAGAAATCATAATTGAGAACTGCCTTGACCCTATTACAATCAAAGGAAAAAGTGAAGACACAGAGAATACCCTGATAATCTTTCCCAAAAGGAATGTCATAACCAACATTTAGAGCTCCCATGCATATGTATACATACATGCATATACATATATAGAGGTATATACACACATGTATGTGTGTATGTATGTATGTATGTATTGCAAACATCCAGAAAGAAATGGTTCATGTGTGTATAATGGAGCAGCCAGAGAGAAAAAGTTCAAGTTTAAGTATCATGGAGACACAATCAAAATCACATAAAACCTGTTAACTTATTATATAAATAAGATGAGACTTTGTAATACAGTATGCCAAAAGACAAAAGATAGAGATTTACAGGCAAAAACAACTTACCTTGCAAAGCTGAGAATAATCCTAGAGAGGAAAAATGGATCTTTTAATGGAATAGAGCAATTCCGATGAAAAGACCAGAGTTGAGTGGGAACTTTGAAGTACAAACACAGGAGTCCAGAGAAGCCACAATGGCAAATTTATCTGATCAGTTGGAAGGGGCTGATGCAGTGCTAACATTCTGCTAGGGAAGAAGAGTTTTCATGTTTTCAGAGTGTATCAAGAAAGTAAAAAATGGAAAACAGAGGACCTGGGAGTAGATTTATTATATTCTGAGCATTTGAAGACGGGAAAGAAAAAAGAAAGTAAAAGGATATTTTAGTGTAGTGTAGAAAAGAGGAAGAAGGAGTGGAACTTGCTATTTGTCATAACTGAAGTGTGTGAAAAGAATAATACACAAACATGGAGAAAGTAGAGGAGTAGTAGGAGCAGACACCCAATCAACCTCACTCTTTCTGAATCAGACAGACAGACAGACTGACTGACTGACAGACAGAGACAGAGAGAGATAGAGGCAAGTTTGGTGTAAAAATTCATACAACTCAACAAGGAAGCCAGCAGGATGGGGGAGAGGCATTAAGAAGGAGGATAACACCAGGGAGGGATTAAATGAAAGCAAAACAAACTCCCATCCCCATCCCAACCAGGAGAAATTGAAAGGAAAAAAGAGAAGCAAATAACTAGGGTAGGAGTGGGGTAGGGAGGAGGAGATGGTATCCATCCATTGGCAGAAGGAGGAAGAAATTGTGCTATATGAATGTAATCATTATATTATCATACCATAAGAAATGGCAAAAGATTAGACTTCAAGGAAGTGACACAGAAGGAAGCCACCAGAACCAAGAGAACAATTTATACAAGGACAACAATATTTAAAGAAAGATAACTTTGAACAACTTGAGGACATTGTTTAATGTAATGACCAAACCGAGTCTCCAGAGGACCTATGAGGAAGCACGTTACACATCTCTTGACAGAGAAATGATGGACTCAGAGTGCAGAGAAAACATACATTTTCAGTGATGGCCAAAAGTGGGATTTGTTTTGCTTGGTTATGCTTATTTGTTATAGCTGTTGGGGGCGTGGGAGGGGTGGTTAGCAATATTGATGCTCAAAAAAAAGAGAAAGCTATTGAAACTGTGAAAAATGATTTTTCTTAGTAATCATCATCTTGGAGACTTGGAGCTCTGCCAACCCCACCTGCCCCCAGCTCCCTTCTTCCAAAATCCTGACTTTAAGTTCAGTTTTTCTACAGAAGGACATCTCTGATAATGAGATTACCTAGTCTCCTGGTCAAACCTCAATCCAAACCTGAACTGATTTAATCAAAGGTACTATAGCTCCATTGTGTTCTGCTGGGCTTGGGTAGAGAGAGATTCTTCTGTCTATAAAACAGACAGTGATGGGCTGTTTCAGCCCCTGTTGAAAAGGTATATAAACTGGGCAACCCAACCCCCAAATGGAGCCCAGTTCTAGACTGGCTTCTTATGGGGACCAGTCTTTGATCCCATCTTCGCATGTGTGCCGCCAGCTTGAGAGAGATAAAAACATGAACTCAGTCAATCTAATTTCATTTGTCTTTCTTAGATCAAACCCTACCAAGTTAACAAATGCATAGGAGTAAGAAGTGCAAGAGTTTTGAAAATAACATTAGAATTATATACTTTTTTAAAAAAACAAGTGAAATGAATTGGAAATTCATAGTTTCATATACAGTCTTTTTTTATTCTCCTATGTACATGGAAATTTTCTCTCTCTCTCTCTCTCTCTCTCTCTCTCTCTCTCTCTCTCTCTCTCTCTCATGTTGAAGTTCAGAATAAAAAAATAATTTAAGGGAAACAAATTTGGTGTTGCTTTAAAAAAAAAAAGGAGCTCCTTGATATTTTGGTGAATCCCAACTACATTCCAGTATTACAGATCAACCAATCAATCAATCAGAAACATTTATCAAGCACCTACTAAGTGGCAGGCACTTGGGCTAAGCAAATGCAAAAAAGAAAGTGAGTCCCTGCCCTCAAGGAGTTTATAATCTAAGGGGAAAAAACAACACTCAAAAAGGAGATGAAAAGGAGACTTGGGGGCATGGTGGCAAAGTCTGAGAAGATAAAAAGTAGTACAGCTCATTAGCCTAATAATATTATCAAAAAGACTTGCACTCCTCTTGGAAAGAAAATTCACCTGAGGTTGTTGGAAGGCCCTCCCTATAGACCTGCATTATCTGAATAACTCACAGTAGGAGCAGAGAAAAAAATGTAATAATGTTCAGGATCCTCCATATCATGGTTCAGTTTCTTGCTGCTCTTCCCACCAGCTCTTCTCTCCAGTGGGCCTGCACTGCTCTGGAACTCCTCTCTCGAGAAGTTTGGGTTGAAGAAGTAGGTTCTTAATAAATGTATATTGACTTGACTATTGACTAGCATCTCTGCTCCTAGCTTTACTATGGTACTCCAGTCTGTGCTTAGCTCTCTCAGGCTCTCTCCAAAATGGACAGATGTGGGACTGATCTCCCTTTTTTATAAACTCAGCACAAAGAGGTAGCTCTGATCCACAACAGCCTGACCTAATCAATTCTTGGGGTAGCCAGGTAGTACAGTAGATAGAGGGCTGGGACTGGACTAAATAAGACCTGAGTTCAAGTCCAACCTCATTTATTAACTGTATTAACACTTATTTACTGTATGACCCTGGGCAAGTCACTTAAACCAATTTGCCTCAGTTTCTTCATCTGTAAAATGAGTTGGATAAGGAAATGACAAATCACTCCAGTATCTTTGCCATGAAAACCCCAAAATGGGGCCACAAAAAGTTGGACAAGACTGAACAATCAATTTATCTGCAATCACTGAGACTTAAAGAGATATCCTCAGTCCTTTCAAGGAGCTGCCAATGAGAATGTCTATACCAATCCTTAAAGTCATGTCCCTTTAACCTCATTAAATTGATTAATCCCCCCCATGGACTCTGCATCAGTCATTTTCCAAACCACAAGGCACAACCACATGGGGAGAGGGGAGGTAAAACAGTAGTTAATTATTACAACTCCTACATCAGTGCATACACTTTTATCAACCAAAACAAACTTTTCAAAATTAAAGCCGACAAGAGTAAGACTAACATGAAGAATTCAATCCAACTGACAGTGAATATAGTACGGTAATTATTTAACACAAGTGGTCAAATCTGAATTCACATATGCCTGTCTTTTTTCCAATTTTAAAAAATTCTGAACTTAACAAATATCAATGAAAATGTTCATTTCTGTATACACAATAGAACAGAGAAGACTGTGCAATGAAACTGCAGATCTCTATTATATATAGCTTGTTTTTCCTTTCAAGTATATAAAAAACTCAGCACGTAACTTTTGAAGTTTTTCTGCTTCTCTGCGATTCCTTCTAGGTTTCTTTCTTTACTGTGCATTTCAAAAAAATATTTTATTTACTTTCTTTTCTTTTTTAAAATTTTCTGGTTTTTTGGTGGGGGGAGAGGGGCAACCTTATCCCTGACTTCTTTCTCCCACCCCACCACTGCCCACCCAAATTGAGGGGGGAAAATAACATAATTGTTATAAATATGCAATAAATTGTATTAAATGTGCTTTTTTTGAGAAAAAAATCCCACATTGGTTATGTCCAAAAATGTATGTTTCATTCTGCAACCTCTCTTCCAGAGATAAGTAGCATTCTTCATGAGTCCTCTTGATCAAAATTCTTAAGTCTTTTATGCTTATTTATCTTTATAATATTGTTATTATTGTATAAACTGTTTTTCTGGTCCTACTTACCAAAAGAAATAACAAAAGGGATGATTTCAGAGAAAGGTAGAAAGATTTGCATGAACTGATACAGAATGAAATGGGTAGGCTATATACTGGAGTTCTTCCAACATGGAAGAACTATTTGGCTGGCATAATCTTTGAACCCAGGGTCACCTCTATTTTACAACAAAGCACTGGAGTGGGATTTTCATGGAGTGCTACAATACTGGTTACGTTTTTGAAGTAACTCATTTTGGTAAGTATGCTATAGTAAGTTGATTTCCAAAAAAATTTTTTTAAATCTTTAAAAATTGCAGTAACACATGAATAGTTATAGTCTTCTGAAATGTTCAAAATGAATTTAAGTTAATTGTCCTTAAGTTCATACTCCCTAATTATTTAAAGTGTAGAGCCTGGAATTCTCCTGGCTGGGGAAACTTGTACCTCCCCCATAGCCATGAGGTGAGTTTAATATCAAGGGAAGAGGCCAAAGAAGTACAGAGTTTAATTAATCGTTATAATTACTTACAAACAGAGGCAATCTGGGGCAGCTGCCAGATGATTCAGTGGATCCCCACAAAGACTTCAAAAAATCCCTGTGGTAATTATGAAAATCAGACAAAGGGAGGAGCTATAAGGTGCTTCACTTAGGATTGGTGGGTACTTTGGGTGTTTCTGCTTAGTTAATGTTTTGTTTAATGTTTTAGTTTATACTTAATACTATTTACCCAGCACTGTTGGGTAAATGCCCAAGCACTCAAGGTTAGGTACTGGTCATGTACCAGTCAACAGTATCTAACTTACGATTCAGTGTCTGAATTGTGTTTTTTTTTAATAGGTCACCATTTCTGGGCTTCCACTTTTCACAGAGTTTAAGTTTATGGCTTTCACTTCTTACTGCATATTATGGCTTTCACCAATTGGGACCCCACAATAAGATAATATTCTCTTTTGATAAACATATAAGAGATTTGAAGAAAAATCCACTGGAGTAGTTAAAACTAGTGAAGGCAAGGTGCACAAAAACAGTTTAAGAAATTGAAATACAGAAATACGCAAATAAAAAGTAAAATAAAAAACTCAATTCCAGAAAGTATAATGCATTATATTTATCATTGGACTATACAAATATCCTATTATTGATGTGGAGGGAAAATGTCTGTGTTTACTTTATACAAATACTTTAATTGCAGATCACATGAAGCCTAATAAATTAAAAATCTTAGAGGTTCATATGCAGAATATATTGGAAAGACAAAATAGTTTTTCCAGAGCAAAGTAGATGTTTCTGACAAGCAAAAACAAATCTTTTCAAAAACCATGTTTGTGACATCAAAAGGGTTACTTACATTGTATAAGAATTTCTAATGTAAAGATTTTCATTCAATAGAATTGCTGGTGCTACCTATCTCTAGAGAGTCTAGACTGTATTGCCAGCAGCCAGCGTGATGTAGGACAGAGCAGTGAAAGAAAAAGGGGAAGGGGAATTGGAGAAATAAAAGTCGGGCTGGGTGAGTCTGAGACTGATGCTCATAAGACTAGTTTATTTTCAGGTGTTACAAGATTATATACTATAGGAAACAGCTTTGTACCATGAGAAATGATCTACAAGCGCTAATTAATAACATAAACAATCTAAGCAGCAAAGATC